ACATGAATTAGGGATGCCATTCAAAATAAATGGCACTGCTATGCACTATGTGCACGGAGCGCTCTCACACAACATGGGTAGACTAAGCGAGCCCCAAGTCTATTCAGTCCAGTTACATAACCTACCAAAGCTTACATAAACCTATGCCAGGATTCTACTGGGTGAAACATGTCAGAGTGAAGAGGATCCTTGGTGGGATGATGTGTACCACAATAAACTTTTCAGCGCAGCTTACGGTGTGCAACTAGACTTTCTCAATATGCCAGGATCCTGTTACATACACCTATAAGAGGACGGAGTCAACCTTCAAGAAATGTTATCTACGGATTAGTCAATTCAAGCTTGGCAGTTCATGCATAAGAATCGTGTCCACTATGACCGTTCCTCTCAGGAGCACTGCAGGTTCCCCTGGCAATGTATATTCAATGTACTGAGCTGCAAAGGATTAAATATTAACCAGGATTTCATCACATGGCTGGCTTGTTATTTTAATTTGGCTACTTAGTTCTGTTATTTAATAACATTAATCTGGGCGTAGCCACAAACTGCAACAAAATAAGAAACACATGCACTGCTCCAGTGATTGCTACCAGTCATAGAACTGCACGTTGAGCAGACAGTGTGAATTATAAAGCAGTGATGATCAGTTCTAGATTCATCATGTAGATATTACTCGGCCATTACGAGCTGGCAGATGGACAGAACTATATCATGGACTTATGATGGGAACAAAATGTCTGATCTGAATTTCCCTTTATCCTGGGAATGAAATACAAACTCTACAACATCCTATTCCCGGGAATATCGGATCACATTTGTCAGGTAATAAATTAATAAACATGCAAAGTACACCAGTGACAACCTTTGTACTGCTGTCATGTCATCATCCAGCTAATGTTCGTGCATATTCTGTGCTTCATGACTAATACACAGCAACGCGGATAAAGGTGTTCTGCCAAAACCCGGGACAGGTCTCTGCGTCAGCACCTAAAAGACATGGAGCACGG